ATTTTATGGATTAAATCAAGAATTACAAAACTGAATACTTTGAAATACTATATACTTGGCAAATTATTAATCAAAATAAATCTGTTTATTTCCCCCACAAAATTGATGACGTTATCTCAAAATTTTGCCGCATAAATTCTACCCAAAATTATGTCGATTGTAGCTTACTAGTTAATTGTTTTAATCCTCTGTTTTCAGGGGACGAACTCATTCAAATCAAACTAATTTCTAGGTGACATTTTTTTGATGGATAAACATAAACACTTTCAAGTTGTTTTTCTTATCGAGGATAACCTAACGACGTTCAGTAATATAATAGAGTCCATTGGGCAATTTGTTACTTTCAAATTTTCTCGACATTTCATAACCCCTAGACAAGGCCGTAGCTAGGGGGAGGTTAGGGGATGCTCCCCTAGATCTAGACAAGTTATAATTAACCAAATGTGAATTACAGCATCCAAAAACCGAATAAAATGTAGGTAGTGTTTTATTCAATAAACGGAAATCAGAGCAATAAAAATGTCTGGTCCGTCGGCATTGTCATCCGGTTATTCCAATTCGTGGAAAACATGTTTTAGTTTAGTTTATGTTTCACCGTCACGTCTACAGGTTGATAAGTGTTATGGCTATTTGTCTTAAATTACAAGTACTATACAAGATGTTCCTTTTATCTGTTCACGCCTGACAATTTTTGCATAGGCGACATATTATACACCCCAGAGACGACTTTGTTTTTAATAAGCAATCATAGGAATCACAAAAAAAATGACAAAGATGTCAATGCCAAATAATGATAAAATTTAAACAATTAATACTTACTCAATTTTTATTTTAAAATGTCCCGCCACCAAAATGTAATACGAAAAAAACATAATAGGCGTGCAGTCGTCACGTTTCCGACAGCGAGGGAAGTACTGTCTAAACTCTTTGGACCAATTTTTTTTTTAAATCAACTGTACATGTGATATGTAGGGGAAAGTGAAGCAGGGTGGGTAGCTTTTTTGAAAATATTATGCATAATTCCTGTTCCTCTGTTAGTTATTATCAGTATTACCTAAACGTTTCCGTTATTATGCATAATTCCTAATCTTTCCGGTTATTATGCATAATAACTGACAAGTTTAGTTATTACGCATAATTCCTAAAATGTCTAGTTATTATGCATAATAACGGATTTCGGATATTAGCTGTAACATATACACCATTTATCGATTTTTTGAAAGATTAATGTTATTTGAGCAAAGACGAAGTGGTTAGATAACCTACAATACACCGCTGTAAGCAAATATAACATAACTGTAATGCAGCAAAATATTTCTTCCAAAAATTTCAATTCTGGTAAAACTTGACCCTCTCGACCTTATAAATAGTAAAAATGTTTTAAAATACATAACCTATACTACATATTTATAAAATCTGAAGGTTTTTACATAAGCTGAAAATTCAAATTCACTATAAATTAAGTATTATTTATTTGAACTACTTTATACTTATTTCATTTAAGTATATTTCTATAGGTACATGTATTTATTTTTATAAACAGACCTTGCAACAATTTTGTGTATTAAGTTATCACTAGCACTTATATCAAACTAGCCCACCCAATTAACGAATAAATTAACTGGTAACCGCAGAAGACCTCGTTTGATAATTATATAGATATCTTTGCCCAAACCTCAAAGTGGGAGATTGTAGGCAACACGTTAAACCGTGATATCAACCGCAAGACTGTATATCGCTTAATGGATTTTTGTAGGCGAATGCTTGAAAGTTGTATATAAATGTGTATCTGAGGAAATCCTTTTATCAGAGCCCTAATTGTTTTGTTTTTATATTTTGCCTTTTTTTCTTAATATACATAGTATTCTTTGAACAACACGATACTCAAAAAGATGTTTTAATTTCTTGTAATAAAATAAGTATTTTGCAATTAAACTTCGCCCCCTTGCTTCAGGGTGCATAAAAAAAATCATTACAATAGAGACAGGGTGGGTGGGCGGGCTTACATTTTGCCTTTTTGTTTGAATATATGTAGACTTCTTTCCACAACATGAAACTTAAAACATGTTTAAAATGGAAAATTTGTATAAAAATTATCGATTTTGCAATTAGACTCCGCTCCATAATTGCAAAATCCATATTTCCTTGCAACCATGTTTTAAGTTTCTTGTTGTGAAAAGATGGCTATGTATATTAAGAAAAAAGAGGCGAAATATAAGCCCCGCCCACCCACCCTATCGCAATTCTGATGATTTTTTTTATCCAATTTCTCAATTTTTAATTACTATATAATTTTTCGACATTTCGGTCTTATAAATTTTCGATTTTACATCTCTTCGAGTTTTTAACTTTTGGTTTTTCAATTTTTCAAAGTTTCATTTTTTCTTCAATTTCTCACTTTATAATTTCTTGACTTTTTATTCTAAAATTTCAGAATTTTCTATTGTTTAGTTTTTCGATTTTTCAGCTTTAGATATTTCATTTCTTCAGTTTTTCAGTTATTCAATTTTACAAATTTAATGCAAATTTCCACTTTTTCAATGTTTCGAGATATTTTACAATTTTGAGTTTTTAGATTTGTTATATTTTCTATTTTTATTCTGCAAGTTTTAGATTTTACTTTCTTTGAGTTTGTTTTTCGTTTGTTCAATTTGTTGATTCGCAATTTTTCTGTTTTTAATTTAAAATTTATCCATGTCACAATTTTCAAATTTTCGCTCCTTAAATTATTCGTTTCTACAGATTTACGATTTTGAGCTATCTATCTCTTAATTTTTCAGTTTTCCAATTTTTCAGTTATTCTATTTTACAATTTTGAAATTTATTTATTAAATTTTTTTGTGTTTTTTATGCCATTTTTGCGTTTTTAATTTTTTGGGGATTTTAAAGTTTTCGATTTTTAGTTTCTTAATTTTGGATTTTTAAATTTTCCAATGTTTCGATTTTAAAATTTTACACTTTTCCGATTTTTCGACTTTTCAGTTTTACGAATTTTTAATTTCACAATTTCTCAGCTTTTCAGTTTGGATATTTTAATTTTTCGATTTTTCCAGTTGGTTTTGTAATTTTTCAATTTTTAGAATTTTCAGTGTTTCGATTTTTCAATTTCTCAATTTTTAATTACTCTATAATTTTTCGATATATCAGTCTTATAAATTTTCGATTTTACACTTCTTCCACTTTTTAACTTTTGGTTTTTCAATTTTTCGATATTTCACTTTTTTCTTCAATTTCTCACTTTGTAATTTCTTGACTGTTTATTCTAAAATATCTCAATTTTTCATTGTTTAGATTTTCGATTTTTCATTTATTAGATTTTTTATTTTTCCATTTTTCAGTTATTCTATTTTACAATTTTCAAATTTATTTATTGGGTTTTTTGTCTTTTTGAGTTTCTTAATTTTTGGTATAAATTTTCCAATGTTTCAATTTTAAAATTTTATACTTTTCCGATTTTTCGACTTTTCAGTTTTACAAATTTTTAATTTTACAATTTCTGAGTTTTTCAGTTTGGATATTTTGATTTTTTGTTTTTCCAGTTGGTTTTGTAATTTTTCAACTTCTAAAACTTTCAATCCTTGGATTTTTCAATTTTTCAATTTTTAATTACTATACATATAAGTAATTTTTCGGTATTTCAGTCTTATAAATTTTCAATTTTACACCTCTTCGATGTTTTAACTTTTGGTTTTTCAATTTTTCGATATTTCATTTTTTTTTTTTCAATTTTTGGATATTTCATTTTTTTTCTTCAATTTTTCGCTTTGCAAGTTCTTTACTTTTTTTTAATTTCTCAATTTTCCATTGTTTAATTTTTCGATTTTTCAGTTATTAGATATTTCAATTTTTCAATTTTTCGGTGATTTAATTTTACAATAAAATTTCGAGATATTCTACAATTTTGAGTTTTTAGAGTTGTTATATTTTCGATTTTACATTTTTTTTTACTCTTCAACTTTCAAGCTTTTGAGTTTGTTTTTCGTTTGTTAAATTTTTTGATTCGCAGTTTTTCCATTTTTAATTTAAAATTTATGGATGTCACAATTTTCAATTTTTCGCTTCTTAAATTTTTCGTTTCTACAGATTTACAATTTTTGTACTATCTAGATTTTTCAGTTTTACAATTTTTAATTTCACAATTTCTGTTTTTCACTGTTTGGATATTTTAATTTTTCGGTTTTTCAATTTTCAAAAACTAAGGTTTTTAACTTTTTCTCGTTTCAGTTATACATTTTATCACAGTAAGTACAGGTATTTTAACTTTTTTTTAATCGTTCACTTTTTCACCTTTTCGTGTCTTCAGGTTTTTGGTTTGCGATTTTCTAGTTTCCTTTTAAAATTATTCTAATTTTTGATTTTCCACCTTATGCATTTTTCGATTTTTTAATTTTTCACTTTCTCGAATTTTGTGATACTCTGTTGGTCGATTTTGTTTTTTTTAATATATGTAGACTTCTTTTTACAACATGAAACTTAAAACATGTTTAAAATGGAAAATTTGTATAAGGAAATATAAGTTTTGCAATTAGGCTCCGCCCCATAATTGCAAAATCCATATTTCCTTGCAAAAAAGATTTTACCCTTGTTTTAAGTTTCTTGTTATGAAAAGATGGCTATGTATATTAAAAAAAAGCAAAATATAAGCTCCGCCCACCCACCCTATCTCAATTCAGATGATTTTTTTTATTCGTTGTAAGCCAAGGGGCGGAGCTTATTTATAAAATTCTTATTTTTCTACGAGAAATTACTCTGTGACATATGTTCTTAAGTGATCGTGTTTACAAAGAAAACTAAATGTATTAATTAAAAAAGAAAATCAAAAGAGAAGCCCCACCCATCCGTCTCGATCTCAACCGTGATGAATGTTTCATTCGTTGTCAGATCGAGGGGCGGAGCGTAATTGCAAAGTCGATATCTTGTATATTGTAAAAATATTTCAGTTTTTAGTCTAAAATCCGCTTTGTAGAAGTTCTAGAGATGTCAGTATGAATTAAAAACACTCATAAATTCTGCATTCACAACTTACCCGAACACGTCGGCGGCGACTTGTCCCATCGCTCCCCGTCGCAGTACAATCTAGCCGCCCCCTTCAGCTCGTACCCAAACTTGCATACAAAATACAGCACCGCATTGTCTATCAGAGACCGAACAAACCCATTAACAATTGGTTTCATCGCCTTGCAACCCTGCCCTACCAACAAGAAACTATCAGAAACCAAACAACCCCCAGACATGCCAACTTACGAACACACCTAGGATGGAAAGGCCAGCCGTTACCCAGGCACCAACTCGACGGGCCGCTGGCTATTTGATAACCCGCATTGCATCGATAAATCGCGTGTAACGCGCCATCTTCGTATCGCCTGTAATCAACTATGCCGTTTGTGAGCGTTACCGAGGGGCAGTTGTGAGGCAGTTTCGAGGCTCTCGACTCTCGGAACGCGAAGACGATGCAAATCAAAACACCGAACAAGTTCATATTTGAACCACGACTACATTTGACCTTATCGGTGCCTCAGGAAGTCGGTAAATTGAGAAGGAGGCGATGTGATGTGCATTTTAATAAGTGGTAATAATTGGACGCTTATTATACATAGTGCCTTCACGACCTTTTTAGACCCCAGTGAGTCGTGGAAATATGATGACTTGGTTGGTAATCAAGAGTGGCAAGTTAAAGTTTCGCTAAAATGACTGACGTTGTTTATATGTCGGGATTTGAGTTCGTAACTCTTTACATGACCGACTAAGACCTGGGGTATTTATTGATTCTGCTAACCTCAAAAATTCGTTGGGTAACTAGCGCTATCTATTGTAATTTTCTTTGCGATACAGAAAAAGTTCATCTTCTTGTTCCTCCGTCTGTCTGTCTGTCTGTCTGTCTGTCTGTCGTCTGTCCGAATTTGTATTAGACAAACAATCCCCGAAAATACTGCAGATGCTAAAACGCTAACCAAAATTTGGTTAATCTGTTATTTAAATTTTATAAAATAAAATACTCCTGCACTTGTGGTTTATGAATCCGTGTTAAGTTTTTCACTAGACATCCAAATTTTTGGAAACAAATCAATGTGTACAATTTTTTTTTTTTTATTTAATTTCTCGACTTTTCGAGTCCGATTTCTCGATTTCTCAAGTTTTAATTTCTTAAATTTTCGATATTTTAGGTGGTTATTGAATTTTTAAAATTTTTGTCGATTTTCATTTCTTCGATTTTCCAATTTCTCAATTTTTCGATATTTCATTTTTGGGGTTTTTCAATTTTTCGATTTTTTAATGTATCGACTGCCTAATTAATTTTTCGATATTTGAGTTTTGAAGTTTTTCAGATCTTGGATTCTTTAGTTTTTCATTTTTTGTTTCTTCAATGTTCGATTTCTCAATTTCTCGTTTTTCTGATTTTTCAGTTTTCCGATTTTTCAATTTTTCGTTTTTTAAATTTTACACTTTTAGATTTTTCAATTTTTCGGTTTTTAGATTTTTCGATTTTCCAGTTATGTCAATTTTTCGATTTCTTGATTTATCGAGATTTCGAGATTTCAATTTTCCGATTTTTGTAGATTTAACGTTTTCTATTTTTCACATTTTATTCTTTTAATGTTTTAAATTTGGGTGACGTATTTCCATTTCTTGATTTTTCGATTGCCCGATTTTTGAATTTGTCACTTTTCGGCTTTCCTATTTTGCAATTTTTCAATTCCTCGATTACTCAATTTTTCTTGGGTTTTTCAATTCTTTGATTTTCTAATTTCTCGATTTTGCAAATATTCGATTTCTCGATTTTTACTTCCCGAGCGTAAGCAAAGGAAGTATTGTAATCGAGTCCGTCGGCCGACTCTCTACTTTTACGTTTTCTCGATCTTTCATGACCCCTAGAAGACGAAGAAATAGGTCTCCCATTTCCGTCTGTCTGTCCGTCTGTCCGTCTGTCCGTCCGTCTGTCCGTCTGTCCGTCTGTTGTCACGGATTTTTATTAGACAGATAATCTCCGAAAGTACTCGACCGATTGTTGTGAAATCTTGTACTTATATTAAGAATATCATGTAGATGGTAAAACGCTAACCAAAATTTGTCGAATCATCCCCACCACTAAAGCGATGACGTCACTTCAAAATTGTACATAGTAAATGGGTTTTCAATTGTATAAAATAACATAGTCCTACACATGTAGTTTACAACTCTGAATCGACTTTTCACCCGAAACGTCCAGATTTTTGGAAAAAAAATCAAAATTATAAAACAACATTTTGAAATTTAATTTTTAATCTGCTAACCAGAATGCTTTGAAATGTTGCAGATGTTTTAAGGCTATAAAGAGCATCATAAATCTTTAGTCAAAAAATATTTGCTTATCCCCTCCAAAAACTTGATGACGTCAGCTCAAAAGTTTGTGGAATAAATCATATCTAAAATGTACAAAATATGATGAGTCTGTACTTGTGAACTATCACTCCATTAATATTTTTTGGATTTGCATATACAGGGTGACTCAAAAAAATTAATGAATGCGTAAATATATTTTATTGATTTAATCAGGAACTACAAAACCGAATGCTCTGAAATCTTGCAGATGTCTTAAGGTCATAAAGAGCATAATAAATGTTTAGTCAAAATATATTTGCTTATCCCCTCCAAAAACTTGATGACGTCAGCTCGAAAGTTTGCCGAATAAATCATATCTAAAATGTACAAAATATGATGAGCCTGTACTTGTCATTTATCACTCCATTCATATTTTTTGGATTTGCATATACAGAGTGACTCAAAAAAATTAATGAATGCGTAAATTTATTTTATTGATTTAATCAGGAACTACAAAACCGAATGCTTTGAAATCTTGCAGATGTTTTAAGGTTATAAAGAGCATAATAAATTTTTAGTCAAAATATATTTGGTTATCTTCTACAAAAAACTGATGACGTCAGCTCAAAAGTTTTCCGAATAAATCGTATCTAAAATGTACAAAATATGATGAGTCTGTACTTGTGATTTATCATTCCATTCATATTTTTGGATTTGCATATGCAGGGTGACTCAAAAAAATTAATGAAGGCGTGAATTTATTTTATCGATTTAATCAGGAATTACAAAACCGAATGCTTTGAAATCTTGGGAATATTTTAAAGTTATTATAAGCATGGTAAACTTTTGTTCAAAATGTATTTGTTCATCCCTCCTAAAAAAATTGATGACGTCACCCTTAAATTTTGCTGAATAAATCCTATCTAAAATGCAAAAAATATGATGAGTTTGTACTTGTGATTTATCATTCCATTCATATTTTTTAGATTTTCTTAAGAGGTGGTTCAAAAAAATTAATGAAGTCAATTTATTTTATTGATTAAATTAAAGGCAACACTTATTATTAGTATTACACCCCAACCAACTCAATTTGGTAGACACAAAATTTGTTAAAGGAAAAACTCGATTGAAACATAAGGGTAGCACGCTTATTTACATCGACTTTAACATTACAGACCTGCATTTGTTTTATGCGTTCACTTGATTCCGCGAATGTGAAATAGACATGTTTATAATCAACCAATTGTGAATTTCACCGTCAAGAATTAAAATAAAACCCAATGTTTTATATAATAAGCGGAAGTCGAAGCAATAAAACCGATGGTCGTTTTGTTTACAGTTTCTCTGTTTGACTCTCACGTATGCTGTTACGCCTGTCATCTTAAATTAACAATGTTTATACATACACGATTTTCAGTTGCCTCTGATACGTAGGTATACGTGAGTAAATTGTTTCGTTATTTTATTGATTATTACAAATCAATATTCAAACGACCCAATTCATTTTCCCGAAAATTTGAGAATATAATAATTTTATTCTTAGTATTACACTACATCTATCCTAACTGATATACGTGTCCTTGCAAAAATGTTGATGACGTCATCGCAATTTTTTTTTAAATTCCCACTACAAAAATGTAATGAGAAAAAAAACACAATAGGCATGCAGTCGTCAAGTTTCCGACAGCGAGGGAAGTACTGTCTAAACTCTTTAGACCAATTTTTTTACTCTTCGATTCCTCTATTTTCCAATATTTCAGTTTTATGATTTTTCGACTTTTCGGTTATTTAATTTTTCGATTTTTGAGATTTTTCAATTTTTCTATATCTAGGTATTCCTCGATTTTCAAATTTTTGTAGATTCAAAATTTTCTATATTTCCCATTTTATTTTTTAGATTTTTTAATTTTTTCACTTTTCGGTTTTCCAATTTTGCAATTTTTCGATTTCTCGATTCCTCAATTTTTCGATTCTTTAATTTCTCGATTTTGCAAAATATTCTCGATTTTGCAAAATATTTTCGATTTCTCTATTTTCCGATATTTCAGATTTACACTTTTTAATTTTTTCGGTTTTTTCATTTTTCGATTCTTCAATTTTTCGAATTCTAAATTTTCCAAGTATTCAATGTTTCAATTTTTGCGTTTAAAAAATTTTCGATTTTTGGATTTTTTGATTTTTCGATTTTCTCATTTCTCGATATTTTGATTTCCCCGTTTTTCAATTTCTCGATTCTTTCGGTTTTAGTATTTTCGGTTTTCAAATTTTCAGTTCTTCAATTTTTTTAATTTCAGATTTTTGATTTTTTAATTTTTCCGTATGTCGGTTTTTCGATATTTCCACTCTGGAATTTTTCACTTTTTCAATTTTTCAATTTTCCTCAATTTTTCAATTTTTCCATTTGTCGAATACCTAATTAAGTTTTCGATATTTGGGTTTTGAAATTTTTCAAATTGTTGATTTTTTGATATTTTAAATTTTTATGTCTTAAATATTTGATTTCTCAATTTCTCGTGTTTCTGCTTTTTCAGTTTTTCGATTTTTTAATTTTTCGATTTTTAACTTTTTCGATTTTCCACTTTTATCAATTTTTCCATTTGTCGATTTATCGAGATTTCGAGTTTTCAATTTTTCGATTTTTTCTTAATTCAAAATTTTCTGTTTTTCACATTTTATTTTCTCGAATTTTCAAATTTGGGCGACATATTTCCATTTCTGGATTTTGGGATTTCTCCTTGTTTTAATTTCTAGATTTTTCGATTTTTTTAGTTTTCGGCTTTCCGATTTTCCAATTGTTCAATTTCTCGATTACTCAATTTTTTGATATTTCATTTTTGGGATTTTTCAATTTTTCGATTCATCAATTTCCCAATTCTTCAACTTTTCGATTTTAAAATTTTTCCATTTTCCAATATTTCAGTTTTGATGTTTCTAAATTTCGATTTTTTTCCATTTGTCGATTTTAGGAATTTTGGATTTTTCGACTTTTCGATTTCTCGATTTTTCTACTTCTTGACTTTTCAATTTTTAGATTTTTATATATTTTGATTTTCCAGTTCCCGATTTCTCGATTTTTAGATTTTCAAATTCAGGTTTCCCGATGTTTCAAATTTGTAAATTTTCAATTTATCGATTCTTCAATTTTTCTTCGATTTTTCAATTTTTGAATCATTGACCAATTTTTCGATATTTGAGTTTTGGGATTTTTTAGTATTTCAATTCTCCAATTTTTGATTTCTTGATATCGCGACTTTTTATCTTTATATCGTTTTTATCAATTTTTCAATTTTTTGATTTATCGAGATATCGATTTTTCCATATTTTTAAATTTCAATTTTTCAATTTTTCACATTTTAATTTACCGATTTTTAACTTTTATCAATTTTTCGACTTTTTGATTTATCGAGATATCGATTTTTCCATATTTTTAAATTTAAATTTTTCAATTTTTCGCATTTTAATTTTTCGATTTTTCGATTTTGAATTACATATTTCTATTTCTAGATATGTCGATTTCTCAAATTGTCCTTTTCTGGATTTTTTTATTTTTTAATTTTTTTATTTTCTAATAATTTAAGTTCAAGGATTTTTCGATTTTTTGATTTTTAAATTTTTCGGTTTTTCAATTTTTATGTATTTTGATTTTTCAGTTTCCGATTTCCCGATTTTTCGATTTTCGGAGCTCTTTAATTTTTGAATTTTTCGACTTTACGATTTTTCGATTTTTCAATTTTTCGCTAATTCGGTTTCCCGATGTTTCAAATTTGTAAATTCTCAGTTTTTCGATTCTTCAATTTCCTTTCAATTTTTCAATTTTTGGATTGATCAATTTTTCGATATTTGAATGTTGGGATTTTTTAGTTTTTCGATTCTCTAATTTTCAATTTCTTAAATTCTCGACTTTTCAATTTCTCAATATCTCATTTTTTTGGTCGTTTAGTTTTTCGATTTTTCAAATTTTCGTTTCTTATATCTTACGTTTTTGATTTTTCAGTTATTCAGTGTTCAAATTTTTAGATTTTTCACTTTTATCAATTTTTCGATTTCTTGATTTATCGAGATTTCGATTTTTCCGTATTTTTAAGTTTAAATTTTTCAATTTTTCACATTTTAATTTTTCGATTTTGGGTTAAATATTTCTATTTCTAAATATGTCGATTTTTCACATTCTCGTTTTCCGGATTTTTTGATTTTCAATTTTTTTTATTTTCCAATATTTTAAGTTTTAGGATTTTTCGGTTTTTTGATTTTTCAATTTTTCGGTTTTTCAGTTTTTCCATTCTTCAATTTTCCGATTCTTCTCGAGTTTTCAACTTTTAGATTTTTGTATATTTTGAACTTCCTGTTCCCGATTTCTCGATTTTACGGTTTCCCGATTTTTCAATTTTTCGCTAATTCGGTTTTCCGATATTTCAAATCTGTAAATTTTCAGTTTTTCGATTCTTCAATTTTCCTTGTATTTTCAATTTTTGGATTGACCAATTTTTTGATATTTGAGTGTTGGGATTTTTTAGTTTTTCGATTCTCCAATTTTTGATTTCTTAAATTCTCGATATCTCGTTTTTTTGGTTATTAGTTTTTCGATTTCTCAATTTTTCGGTGTTCAAATTCTTCAATTTTTCCCTTTTATCAATTTTTCGATTTCTTGATTTATCGAGATTTCGATTTTTCTGTATTTTAAATTTAAATTTTTCAATTTTTCACATTTTAAATTTTAGATTTTTCGATTCCTCGATTTCTCGTTTTTTTTTTAAATTATACATTTTTCGAATTTTCAATTTTTAGATTTTTTTAGTTTTTTAATACTTCGAATTTTTCATTCTAGGTTTTTCAATATTTAAAAAAAAATTGTTCAATTTCTTGATTTTTGAAGTTATTGATTTTGGGAATCTTTCCATTTCTGATTTTTCAATTTTTCAGTTTCTTTGATGTTCAATTTTTTTGAATTTCGTTGTTTCAATTGCTAGGTTTTTCGATTTTTCGATATTTGACTTGGATTTTCAAATTTTAGATTTTCGAATTTTTGATTCATCGTTAGTATTTTCCGTTTTTCGATATTCGAATTTTCAGTTCAATTCTTCAATTCTTCGATTTTTGATTTTTTTCAATGTTTCCACTTTTCAATTTTTATACGTTTCAGTTAATTTACTTTTTGATTTTTTGATTTCTCCAGTTTTCGAATTTCGATTTTTCAATATTTTACTTTTCAATTTTTTGATTTTTTCAGTTTTAGATTTTCCGTTTTTCCATTTATCGATTTTCGATTTTTTTTCCCGTCAATAAGTTATGCAAAATACATGGAGATATAGTGTTAGTTACCCAACGAATTTTTGAGGTTATTTAAGGTTATGGGTTATAGAGAAAAATGTATACTCATTGTAGGATTAACTTTATATTACTTATATAGTTTTTTGGAAATGACATCAACTTTGTCTTTTTCTAGGTGCGTTAAACAAAGTTTAAAAAACCAGCACAACCTACACATCTAGAAATCACATTGCACTACTATATTGGGCGCCACCTAGTTTATAACCCGGCTTGCATATAATCATATAAACCTCCCGTAAAATTTGTTCATCGCGTAGGCCACGATAGGAATACGGACGAACTTGACCCTTATCGGTTCCTCGGGAAGTTGATATGTGCAGAAGAATGTGGTGTGATTTATATTTTAAGCATATAATTTGTCAACCCAAACACGCGCTCCCTTAACCTAGGTACTTACCAAAACACGTCGGCAGCGGGTTGTCCCATCGCACCCCATCGCAGTAGGTAATATTCGCCCCATTCAACCCGTACCCACTCTTGCAGTAAAAATTCAGTACCGCCCCTCCGTACGACGTATAAATCAGCCCATTAGCAGGTGGATTGGCGGTCTTGCAGCCCGGTCCTACCACAAACAAACTATCAGCCACCATCCAACTCTCCAATCTGCCAACTTACGGACACATTTGGAGCCCTGGTTGTCCCAGTTGGTCCCAAGACACACACTATACCTATCGCCGGCTAGTTTATAGCCCGGGTTGCACAAAAACCGCGCGATTTTTCCCCTTTGCCTGTACCTCACTCTCCCGTTTCGAATTGTCATCGTGGGGCACAATCCCGGCAATCGACGCGCCGTCCACCCTTCCAAAACGAAGAGGGTGCAAATGAAAACGCCGAACAGGTTCATCTTTGGGCCACGACTGGAGATTTGAACGAACTTGACCCTTATCAGTTCCTCAGGAAGTTGATAGGGAGAGAAGGAAGTGATATGGTGTGCATTTCAAGAATTGTCAATTTTGATAAGATGGGGCGAATTGGCAGCTGGGTGTTTGTGACAAGTTGTTTGTGAGAGGGATTTTGCATTCCAGAATACTATCTTGGTGTTACAAAATTACCAACCACCCACTGGCATTTTGATAACTGTACCATCCGAAATGTGATAACCTATCAAAACATTTCTGTACATACCAATACCAACTATGATGGATTCTTTAATATGTCTTTAGTATTAAAGTAAATTCTACACCAAGTTTAGCACAGAATTTGTTAAGAAATCAGGTAACCATAATATACATAAGCTCTTCATCGTTTTAAGGGTGAGCTGAAGCATATTTCAGCATAGGGAAAAACTAATTCTTAAAGTAATGCAATACTTTTTAATGTTTAACCGTTTCCATACATTTTAGCGACCCTGTATAGTATTTTTTTACATCTTCTAATTAAATTATATGCTTTATTTTCCTATTATATATTATGTTCTTTTACCCTTTTGTTCAATAGTGATGTAATAACCATAACTATTACTACTAATTAATAATATTATTACCAACAATTGTTTCTTTTTTCCCCGTTTTAGATTTTACAATATGTAAGTAGCAATTTCGAAATCACAAACAAAACTGTGCAAAATGCCAGTTATTTGTAAATCGGAGGTAATTTAAGTGATTGCTGGTGGGATAAAATTGTTATTAAAATAATTTCTATAAATTAACAAGAAGTGCATTTGGAGTTCATAATGTTCTACTACGTTTTCCAAATCCAAAATTAACAGAAAATAAGAAATTACGTAGAAATACCATAGATAAAAAAATATGGATTTTTTTTAATTTGGTGTCATAAATTTCTCATTTTTATACTAAATTATCATAAAATGTTTGTCTAATGAATTACATTTTTAAAGCAAAAATTATCAAGTTCATTATTGCTATCAAATCTAAAGGAGCTTAAAACATTAAAACCTATTGGATGAAAATAATAACAAGCACTAATTTATTTCAATAATTTAAGTGATCGATGACCTGAATTAAATAACTTTGTATCAATTTAGAACATTACAAGAAACTTTATTAGTGGTGGCACAATGTGACTACAAATTTTTTTGTTCGATATTTTCGTAACTGTTCATTTTTTCCGTAATGGTTTCAGTTATCTATATTGTTAAGAAATAAACCCATGCCCCGGTTCGACGCCTATGGATTTTCTAGTATGTGCGGCGATGACTTACCGTGGGTGACGGCGCCCGGAGGGGGTTCACTAAAGAAGAGCCTGGAAGCGGAAGTCGCGATGGGTGCTCCAGACAAATCTAGAAGCGGTGACCGAGGCGTTCCGAGGAGGACCACGTGGTTTTTTTTGTAAAAAAATAATTATTACTCCGTGACCATAAACACGCTATCTTTTTGGAATGAACATGTCGGGATCTATATCCCTGAATTTTTTCAGAATTTTCAGATGACTTTTTCAAAAATGAAATTTTCCATTCGTTGAGCACCAAGAACTCGGTCTACAAGAAGATTTTATTACTCTACATAACACGTTAGATACTTTTCTAAATGTTCGGCAGAAAAATTTTTCCTTTTTTCAGTTAGGACATTTTTATACCTAGAGAAGGATCTTTCACCATCACACGATGTTAAAGGAGAATATTTAAAATTAGCAATTTCAGCGAGTTTCAGTTTTAAATCTTTCTCTACATTTTCGCCTTATAATACGTATTTTGCTGACAAGTTTAAGCTCTTGTAGTTTTCTTTACATAACAAGAAATTAAAAATATTGGTAAACATGGTAAATTTGTAGAGAAAAGTGTGGGGATAAAATTTACCATTTTAAACATGTTTTCAGCTTAAAATAAAAAAAAAGTAACCCCACCCACCCGCCCTGACTCAGTTGTGGCGATTTTTCCCTATTCGTTGTGAGCCAGTTGGGGCGGAGTTTAATTGCAAAAGTTTTGTCTTTTTTCTGTAGATACGTAATCTTCTTTTCACAAGATATTTAAAACATTGAAAATGGTACAGTTTTTTTCAGACATGTTTCACATGGAAGATTCTTGCAGAGAAATAAGCATTTTGCAATTAAGCTCCGCCCCTCGGCTCATGGCGAATAAAATAAGTCATCACAATTATAAGGAGGGCGGGTGGGCGGCCTTAGTATTTTGACTTTTTTTCTTAATATATATTTTCTTTTCATCACAAGACACTACAGATATGCTTAAAAATGGGAAATGTTTGGAGAAGTAGGGGATAAAATTCATTGTTTTTGCTTTTTTTTCTTAATATATATACGGAGTTTTCTTTTTATGACAAGAAACTAAAAATATTTGTAAACATGGTAAAATTGTAAAGAAAAGTAGGGGGAAAAAATTACCATTTAAACATGTTTTCAGTTTCTTGTTGTGAAAAGAAAACTATGCATATTAAGGAGTTTGTATTTAGCTTTTTTTCTTAATATATGTAAGTAGTTTTCTTTTCATGACAAGAAACTAAAAATATGCTTAAAAGTGGTAAATGATTAGAGAAACACCATTTTAAGCACGTTTTCAATTTCTTGTTGTGAAAAGAAGACTATGCTTATTAAGAAGAAAAACATACAAATCGTAGGTATCCCTTATGCATATTTCGACCCATTCTCGACGATTTTCGAACTTTAACTAAATACATATTTTTATAGACTTTGGCCCGAAGAAGTCACTTCTGGCTTCACTTCTTCGATAACTTAAACTGTTTTTCCATCATCGTCCATTGAAATATCGCAATTTTTGAAAATTTCGAAAAATTCGAGTTTCACACCGAATTTTCCGAAAATATTTCTCTCTTACCAACAACACGCTATATTTTTGGAATCAGCATGTCGAGATCTACGTCCCTCAATTTTTCAAAATTTTTAGACAACTTTTATAAAAGTGAAATTTTTTCAATGGCCCACCTTCAAATTTCAGCCAATTTTTGACGTTTTAGAAACTTAACGAAATACATTTTCTTGTAAATTTCGAGCTCCAGAACCCATTTCGAGCCTCCGTTCTTTGATAACTGCAACCGTTTTTCCGGAATCGGCCGTTGAAGTATCGAGATTTTTAGAAATTTTTCAAATATTCGCATTTCGTACCAATTCTTTCGAAAATGTTGCTCAGTGCAACATGTTATATTTTTGGAATCAGCAGGTTAATATCTAAGTCCCTGAATTTTTTCACAATTTTTAGACAACTTTTTTAAAAGTAAAATTTTTTCAATGGTCCCGCCTTCTTCAAATTTCAGCCAATTTTTGACATTTTTGAAACTTAACTAAATACATTTTCTTGTAGATTTCGAGCTCTAGAACTCACTTCCGGCCTGGTTTCATTGATAACTCCAATCGTTTTTCCAGGAATCGTCCGTTGAAATACCGACATTTTTTGAAATTTTCAAAAATTCGCATTTCGTACCGATTCTTTCGAAAATGTTGTACCGTGACCATCAACACGCTATATTTTTGGAATCAGCATGTTGATATCTACGTTCCTGCATTTTTTCACAATTTTTAGACAAGTTTTTTAAGAGTAAAATTTTTTCAATGGTTCCCCTTCAAATTTCGGCCAATTTTTGACATTTTCGAACCTTAACTAAATACATTTTCTTGTGGACTTTTCAGTTTTTCGATTTTCCAATTTTTGATTTCTTAAATTCTTGACTTTTCAATTTCTCGATATGTCGTTTTTTTGGTTGTTTAGTTTTTCGATTTTTCGAATTTTGGTTGTTGAAATCTTACATTCTTTGATTTTTCATTTTTTTAATGTTCAAATGTTTCGATTTTTCACTTTTATCAATTTTTCGATTTCTCGATTTATCGAGATTTCGATTTTTCCGTATTTTTAAGTTTAAATTTTTCAATTTTTCACATTTTAATTTTTCGATTTTTCGATTTGGGTTAAATATTTTTATTTCTAGATATGTCGATTTTTCAAATTCTCGTTTCCTGGATTTTTTTATTCCAAATATTTTAAGTTTTAGGATTTTTTATTTTTTGATTTTTCAATTTTTCTAGTCTTCAGATTTCGATTCTTTTCGACTTTTCAATTTTTAGATTTTTATATACATATGTATTTTGATTTTCCAATTCTTGATTTCGGGATTTTTGATTTTCAGATTCAGCTCTTCAATTTCTCGATTTTTCGATAATTTGTAAATTTTCAGTTTTCCGATTCTTCAATTTTTGGATTGACCAGTTTTTCGATATTTGAGTGTTGGGATTTTTTAGTTTCTCGTTTCTCCAATTTTTGATTTCTTAAATTCTCGATATCTCGTTTTTTGGGTTCTTAGTTTTTCGATTTCTCAATTTTTCGCTTTTCAAATTTTTCGATTTTTTATTTTTATTGTATTTTTCGATTTCTTGATTTATAGAAATTTCGATTTTTCCGTATTTTTAAATTTAAATTTTTCAATTTTTCCATTTTAGTTTTTCGATTTTTCGATTTTTTGACTTTGGGCTGCAGAAGTCACTTCTGACTTCATTTCTTCGATAACTTAAACTGTTTTTCTAGAATCGTCCATTGAAATATTGCGATTTTTGAAAATTTCGAAAAATTCGAATTTCACGCCGAATTTTTCGAAAATATTTCTGCCTTACCATCAACACGCTATATTTTTGGACTCAGCATGTCGAGATCTACGTCCCTGAATTTTTTCACAATTTTTAGACAAGCTTTTTAAAAGTGAAATTTTTGCAATGATCCCCCCTTCTTCAAATTTCGGCCAATTTTTGACATTTTCGAAACTTAACTAAATACATTTTTTTCTTGTAGATTTGGGGTTCTAGAACTCACTTCCGGCATCGTTTCTTTGATACGGGCAACCGTTTTTCCAGAATCGAACGTTGAAATATCGAAATTTTTAGAAATTTTAAAAAATTCGCATTTCGTACCGAAGGAAACTTAAAATTTTTATCCCGATTAAAAATATCAAAAACGACCTTAAATAATGTA